AAATAACTAATGGTTTAAAGAAGTAAGGACTAATAGCAAATCAAAAGATATGAGAGGGTATCAAATTGTAGAAAAAAAAAGAAATGATTTCAGGGTAAGACAAATAAAACATTGAGAGACTCACATGACTTTGTGGCCAAATTTTGAGCTTTGTATGATCGGCCTTAGTAGATCAGCATCCATAAGATTGAGCTATCTGTCTACTTGCAGTAGAAAAAAAAGGCATGACTTTTAGGAAGAATAATGTATATTTAACCTGTAGAGAGATTTGGGAACTGAAAGTGAGGGTTAGGAGCATAAGGCCATGAATAATAAACAATGAATAATAGGAAAGGATAAGCCATATATTCTGTGGTTTGGTTATATTCATATTAGTAACAGTTGGACTAGTTATATTCTTGTACTGTCTAGATACTAGGCGGTCCGTAATAAAGTGCCTCATTGGTGGGTGGGAGTTCAAGGAAATGTTGAAGCTCTTTGGAGTCTAGAAATAGGGTTATTAGCTTTTTGAATCTGGTAAACGTATCACAGTTACGGATTGGCAGCCTGTTCCACAATAAGCTATATCGTACTGTAAAAAACTTACAACGCATTTGTTTTTGGTGTATATGCGTTGTTTCTAAGTCTATAGGCTGGGTCGTGGGTGATAGTCGGGCAGGAGGTTAGAAAGGAGAGCCCATATATCGCTTTGTAGAGAAATATTAAATTGTTCTTTAGCCTACGGTGCCATGAAGGTTCTAAAGATAGATGCTTACATCTGTCTGTGTAATCGAGATTCGAGTTACATCCTAGTAGTTGACGTGTGAAACGTCTTTGAACATCTTCTACTCTTATCTTGTCTGCGATATTCATATTAGAGAAGACAAAAGAGCAGTATTCAAGGGTGGGTCGAACACATATTTTGTAGAGAGTAAGTTTACCCTCTGTTGTGAAAAAGTTTTTCATTATAAAACCAATTAGCCGTCTAGATTTAGAAATAATAGAGGAGGCATGTTCTTCAAAGTTTAGGCTTCCTGTGTAATTTATTCCTAAATCGTGTACTGATTTGAGTGTTTGGACTATACATTCATTTAAGTGAAGTCGCGGTTTATAGGGATGCTTTCCGAAGTGCATGATCCCACACTTGTTGAGGTCAAATGGTAATTGCCATTTTTCACTCCATATAGCATACTCCAAGAACAGATGTGTCTTAGGATAAAGTCGTCAGCAAGACAAAACGGACTACGGCATATTTCCCCTATAGTCACTAACCCATTTCTAGATTTAATCTTACAACATGCAACCTCATATTTGCCACTGATATGAGCCCCGATATGGTTGATTGTATACAAAAGTGATCCCAAATGTGTAAAATTATGCCTCCCCACTTGCGACTTAAAACTCTATCACTTCTAATACAGATATAGCCTGTAATGGACGGAGAACATTCTATATCTACGGTGAACCAAGTTTCTGTAACAACAATTACATTGGGGTATAATTCGTCCACCATCAGACTTAGGTCGTACGCTTTATTTCTCAGACTACGGGTGTTCGTGTAGCACACACTTAAGGTGTTTTGGCAATCAATCGTTCTACCCACACAGGCCTCGGAAGCATTGGCTTCCAAGACTTGACTGGCCGAAAATCCTTAATGGTAAGGTTGGTTTCGCCATTCACTTGCGAGTTCTTAACTCAGTAAGCGCATTCTTTCACTTGATTCGATCCTCAAGCGGCCAATTTGGTCGGATAGGAATATTTCAATCACGGGTTTTTTGTGCGTTTTTCAATACTATATATATCTCTCTATGACGAGGCTATAAGTTTGGACTTTGGCGGAGTGGTCTGAGAGTCCACCAATGACTTATCAAGTAAACGGTCACTAGTTTTAGCTGTCTTTCCTACTCTTATGCGTTTCCGTGTCATCCATATTCCATCAGTCGTAGCATCCACATTAGAACCACTCAGGACAGTAATTGTTTTATCTGGGTCACCGGTTGCTGCTGTAGCAGCATGGCTATCGATATCTAATGAGGTGTCACCCATTGACTGTTTCGGGGTCGAGGGTTTAATAGCGGGTTGCACAGTTAGATGTCTGGCTTGTGCCATGACAGCACTTACGACATTAACGCAATCTTCGCCATCAGTACCAATATTACCAGTACAGCCCTCATCAACCTTCTTATTAGCCAACACCAGGAGACTAATTGCTTCCTGGATGAGTAATGTAATGTAATTCTCAAACCTTAACTAAATAAATCAAGTAAAAGTCGACCAAGTATGCTTCGATGCAATAAATACACAAAAGCGAAATCGAAACACTCAATAGAATATCACTCTAACTGTAGTAGATGTAGTTAAAGTGTAAACAGTAGTTTTGATGCGTAATTTACGATCAAAACAGTTAATTAACTCAACGAGAAACAATACCACTGATTTTTTTAGATAGCGCACTCAAAAAATGGAGAACTTATTCCGTTATCCAGCCTCTCTTCGTCAAGCCATAACTGGAGTTTCCCAGCCTCTAGGTGCTAATGACAACCAATAACGACGGTGACGCCACTAACCTTTCGGCTGGACGATACTCTCAGGAATTTGAACCAATCCACATTGATTATATTGAGGAAAGCTTCGTCTGCAACTGCACAAGACTTTTTGTAGTGAACGTGAGTGCTGACTTTGTGTTACGGAAACTGCAACACCTAGGAAAAGACACTTCTCATGACTCGGATATGGTCCATTCTGTTATACTGAATGAAGCAGCCTCAATCCTGGCAACACCGATTAGTGTGGTGTTCTCACATTCGCTGAGCCAAAGCTAACTTCCGGAAATTCGGGAGCTGGCTCACATCACACCAATTTTTAAAGAAGGTCGACGCAGCATACCTTCAAGTTACCAACTGCTGGCTCTTTTCTCTATACCTTCAAAAATTATAGAGTCCCTGATATGCGGCGCTTTACATGACTATTTATTGTCCTTAAATTTCTTTTAACCCAACAGCATGGTTTCAGGAAGGGTCATCTTGTATAACCAACCTGCTGACTGCGGTGGAAAGATGGACTTAGTTTACCTTGACTTCTCAAAAGCTTTTGTTAGAGTCAACCATATATCTCTAATCAATAAGCTCAAACGACTGGGTATCAAATCATCTCTAATTGACTGAGGATATACAAACACTTCAGGAGGATCAGACTCGACTTAAAAGTTGGGCAGATGGCAACAGACATACATTTAACATTTCAGTGTAATGCAGTCCATCTGCGACATGTTGTAAACTACAGTTACAACTTAAGAAACTCCTCCCTGGTAGTACCTCGAGTTTAAAAAGATTTAGGAGTCTTGCTACTTCACGATTTGAAGTCTTACTCTGTGACAAATGTGCTTTTCGAGCAAACCTTGCAATGATGACATTGAAGGGCATTTTTGGCCACTTTGACGGAATAACTTTCCACATAATCTTCAACAGGTTATTTCGTCTCCATTTAGAGTAAGGAAACACAGTATTTCCTCCCTCACTTCAAAATCATGAGGACACTCTGGAGATTATTCAACGGCGAGCCACGAGATCAGTTCAGGGACTGTTGGGATATTCAGAAAAATATCCCTAAAACAATTTCCCGGTTAAGTCTAATGCTACCCTCGAACGTTAAATGGTGTCATTTTCCTATTGGTCGTCTCTCTACTGATCAATATTTATTTCGCGTGTCATTTCCCCATTGGTCAATATTTACTTCACGTGTCATTTCCCTACTGGTCAACGTTTATTTTACGTGTCATTTTCCTGCCAAATATGTTATTTTCTATTTTATGGTGCGGTGTGGCCTGCTTGATTGGTATATAAACAGAGTATGTTTGAAATAAAATGATTCATATCTCAGAGGCTGAGACTTGTGTTCTGGACTCAACTGGCTGGGCTAGACAGGGAAGCGGGACCAATCAGAACTGTAGGCCATTCTTACGTGTTTACGCGTCTTTGGTTCGATCGATAATTCGCTGCGTCTAATCTGCAGTCACAGTTATAACAGGGACTGGAATTCAAACTTTATGAAGAGCGCCTCCAACCACTTAACCTTTAGCCATTACAGTATAGGCCTCTAAGAGGTGACCTATTAGCTTACAGTATCCCTAACACTTCTGAACATCCCCTCAAACACCTACTTAAGTTTAGCTTCAACACAAACCTGAGGTGTAACACTCAGTAATTGGAGACACAACACAGCAGAACGGGTTGTAGACACAACTTCTACTCCTTAAGAGTTGTCAAATGCTAGAATTCGCTGCCGGCTGAACTAGTCCAAACGACTTCTTAGGAGTTATTTAAGAGGAAACTTGACCTATTCTTAAGGTTTATGGATAACATCTTATTATGATTTACCAATTCCTTTTTTCCTCTATTGTCGTGAAGATGACACAGGTATTCAGTGTTTGACAACGCTTTTACCAGTAACACCTTCTAATATAATTCGTTCCCACCCAGAGAAATCAAAAGATAGAGTCGAGGAGATCGGAAGAGTGTATTTGGCGATTACAAATATATCGGAATTCTCTGATCTAATCTGGCTAGCGATTGCGGTAGATGTTGAGCACAGCGTTACCACACGTGATTTGGTGCGGATTCATGACCGAGCGCTTTCAGCTAGACGAGTCCACTAAAACATATGGTCAGCATTCAATGTCGAAAACTTAGAGCTATTTATTTTGGGGATTTATTTACCGCTACAATCGTTAATATACTCAGGTTCCTGCCTGTAGATATCGGTGATCCACTGCCAACAGACACAGAAGCCCGTTAAACGAAAGCTTCATCTGTTCCGTCAACAACCATTTGAACCATTTAGTTTTTGTATATGTTGATATTACAGATGCTGAAATAAATATTCGTCAGTGCGTTTATTGCGGTTTTCAATAGTCATTTATAAGAACTTGAATGACTGTTTGTAGTAACGGAAAGTTAACTTACTTGGTCATATAAACTTCTGCGGTTTTGTTTTACTGTGTGCCTGGTACTCAAAACAGCGTGGGTAGGTTAAAAAGTCTGTTTTCGGTTTTATACAGCATCACATTGTCCTTATCTTATTTTATATTAGAGAAGTGTCTTTCCACAAGTACGTTGAGTTGCTACTCTTCTCTCATTCATTTAGATCGGTTGCGCACATTTTTATGTCGGTGTTTTGGTTTCCCTACACATAATTAAATCTGTACTGTCGGCGAGGCTCGGATTACAGCCTTTCTAATCAGATATAAAATAGGTGATTAATTCATATGATTTCAAGGAGTGACTTTAGTGTTTAGGCACCCGGGCAGTATCACAGCCCTCACACATCGAATCAGATTTGTGTGGCGCATATGTATTTGGTGCCTCCTTGTACCAATATCTATGTGTTAAATCAAATAAATAAATGAATCAATATGAGATCTAAGGATGATTCGGAGTCTGGGTCGTACCTAGTTGCTTCTTTCCCATGTTGCACTAGAGCACATGTGATAACCACGTCAACCAGTTTCTGTCCATAGGACTTTTGTGATGATGCAATTCTCAGATTTTGCCAGTCTATCGTGGGTGCGTTTAAGTGTCCTAAGATTAAACGTCGACCACTTTATAACCATGTGTTGTGACCATCTATCAAGACTTCGTTCACCTCAGCTTAAACTGCGGTAGGTTAAACCAATCATCAGCTCTTACTGTGTGTTTCAAGCAGCAACTAACTAATTCACGCGCTCCACTCATGGGATACGTAATCAATGACGGTAAACGGTGTAGTATTTCTAGTGAGTTACTCCAGCCAAAGCTATTCTTGAGCTACTGCCGGTCCCAAGACGGGAAAAGTGAGGAGGGTTGAACATAGAATCAGCAACCGCATCCCGTTGAAAACAACTTTGCTAAATGTACATTTACCATAAATACAACTTGGACCAATGTATATCTGTGGCTGGTCCTACGTTGTAGCTCACTGACTCCTTGACTATGAAATACAACTGAACTGTTACTATGATCAGTCTTGAATTTCTCAGTTACTGTTTGGGGGACTGGGTTTTCTTTAGTAACCTTACGTTGTTTCTTATTCTTGATCTGTATTCATTCATCAACTTCCATTGGAATAGCAATGGCAGTCACGTTAGACACATTGTGGGATCCTGGACTATTGTTGATGACTTGGGTAGTCAGGTTTTTATTTTTCTTGCTAAAAATGGACCTAGTCTTACTATTAAGTTTTCTAGGCGTTTCCTGCTGACAGTCATTCTCAGGACGTTGGACAGAAGAAACTTCCTTTGAGCTTTTGTTTTTAACAAGCCCCTTTATAAGTTGTCCTTTCTTTGGCCCATGTAAGTCAAACGATTCTGAGCTTCTCTGAGGTAACTTCACATCAATTTGTGTATCGACCGAGCGAGTACTGTCTGTTGTGTCGTCTACGTTGGTTAATACTTGTTTTGGCAGCATTCACCATTACAATAGCTTTGGATAGCAAGCTGTTTGCGTTCGAGCGGCACTACCTACACAACCACGCATCTATTTTCACTAGACCGTTTAAAAGCCGCAGGCGTTAGGTTTGTGTAAACTTCGTCGTACCATCCTCTGCACTCATCGCACTGCGTGCCACTTTCCGCAGGGTATCAACAAACTGGGCGTTAGCGACCGCTTTTGCACTGTCCAGCCATTAATCGGAAGTTTTCAAAGGAAACGACACACTACCCAGAGACAAGAGAAATTAATGACCAAGTTGTTAGAATCGGAAGTGCAAACAAAAACAAAGGACCAGTGTACTTAACAGTACCGATGATAAGTTACTTAAAAAAACGATACTCTTGGCGAATACTTTAACTGAAATGAATTCAATTTAAGTGAAAACGGTAGTTTTGATGCGTAATTTACGATCACATCAATAAAATTGGCGAGGAAAAATACCACTGTCCCTTTTAAATAGCGTCGGTCGAAAAACGTTGCAAGCACTTATTCCGTCTTCAATTTCTCATCAGTGACTAGTGTTAATATAAATGCCATTCAAGTGGACTTCACTAAAGTAGTCTAAAGACCCCTCAGATTTAACTTTAGTCCTGGCTTGTACGTACGAATTCTATATCTGTAACAGAAATTCTATCACTTATCTCTATGCTAATGTGGTATGGCAACTCGAACTGATGTACGTACGTACGAAATTCTACGTTGTTCATGACTGACTGACTTCTGTCACTAATCAATCCTCATATTATTATAAGAAATGCCATGCGGGTCCTCGTGATACGTTTTTCGAATTCCTGATTTATGGTAGTTGCAACCATCTATAAAAAATAAGTTTTTCTCTCCCTGAATCCGTGGAGAGCAATGACCTACGTAGGTTTCAGCTTTACAGTCGTTTGTATTATTTACTGGAATTTGAAAACATTACTTTGTGTATTGCCGTTAATTTATTCTACAGGATTATAGAAAACGGTGAGTTTGCCCCTTGCGTCGTTCAGCACGTAATGGGTTTTCTGAAAGGCATAGACCCATTGCTGAGCTATTTTTAAAATTATCGCTGTACACTTTCATGGTTAAAAGTTAGATATATGTTAGATGCTATTATTCAGGGTCTGTGTTCTAGTGTATTACCAAGGTAAAAAGATGCGGTGAACGAAGGCCTCTATACATGTATTCAAACTTCGAACTTTCACCTATAACAACTGTCTATGACTGGGCATGTTGTTCGTTACATTATCTGAAATGTGGGATTTTAGCTTTAATCTTGTAGTTAACATATTGGTGACTTATACAAGCAAACTGCGCTTTTTCTTTGGTGAGGTGTGAAACCATGTCCCGATAATCAGGTTTAAATGTTTATAAAGGTTTATCAAAACTAGTGTTCTATTTTCCCGGTATAAGGTGGTCGTTATGCTGCTCAAAATACAGTGCTAAATGTCATTTCACTTTCTCGGAATCCTGAGGGAAGTAGGGATAGACTTAGCAGTCTTTGCGCCAAATCGAATAAAATATATCGATACAAAAACCTATTTCTTGATGCCAAGCCCGTTTTCGATTCACTTCATAAGGCACTCGATATCCATCAAACTAAACGTTTAGTATTGACTCGTCTTTCATTTGCATTTTACTTTCTTAAGTTTATCAAGCAGTCTCAGCTCGTTTAAAATTTACTTTACATTATTTCATCTAAAATTGTTGCTATATTACCAAATATTTCTGTAAAACTACATTTTCAGGATGACGGAAGAAACTGTGGTAGAGGAAATCAATTACGAGGAACAATATGGGTATGTTAATGAGAGTTCTGTTTAGTTCAGGTTAGTGTATTTCATCAACCTTTGTGAACCAAATCCACATCCTGGACAATTCATTGTGATTACTAGACTAGTAATCTCTTGTTGTGTATCTCTCTCACACCACGCTTTGATATTTCCCATGGAAGCTAATTTTTCCTAGCTGTATATACATTTGTGATTAGACTTGTTTCTTACCGCCTTTTAGGGTGCTTGTCGAAGAGAATAAAAAGTTGAAGATTGATATTTCAAGTTTGCAGTTAAGCAATCGAAGTCTTGTCAATCAGAATAGGGATGAGAAAAAAAAGGTTATGGATTGTCGTTTGCAGATTGCTGATTTAGAAGGGCGTCTTAAGGCGTTCGATGCCACAAAGCAGGAATTAGCCGATTCACAAGGACAATGTGAACGTGTACGTATGACATTAGAAAGTTGTGAAGCTAAATTAGCTGATGCTGAAAGGCGTGCAGATGAAGCATCCGGTTTGATAAAGGTAAGTTATTTTTTATTTCTTGAGTCTCTTCGTCAGATCAAGGATAGCATTATCGTGAAACAAAGCAATTTCACAAAGGAGATTGAAGAACGCTTGAGAAATATCACGGAGGAACGAGATAATTTGTTACATAAAACCTCTAATCTAGAGACGGAATTAAATATAGCTATTGTTAGAGGTGAAGATGCTGATGACTTAAAAGAACGATTGAAGGCGTTACAGGAACTTTTTGATAATCTGGTTAATGACCGGTAATTAGTTTTCTCAATTAATTATTCTTTTAGTTCCCAAACAACTAGTGAGAGTGGATTAGCTGCTGCTAATGAGTATTTCAAATCCGAACAGGCTAAATCTGAAAACCGTATCGCAGAACTTAAAGAAGTTAAAAGTGGATTGGAGCAAAAGATTGAAGAACTATGTGGTGATAAAAAGCAACTACAAATACAGGTTTGTTTCTTTGCATTATTTTTATAAATTCGCTTGGTCCTGAAGCATTCTAAAATACAAATTCGTGTGTGTCGCTTCTTAAAGTTTTATCCATGTTCTCAATTTCCTACTTAATTACCATTTTAGCCTTCCAGATGTATCATACTTCCGTTTAAGCAGTGGAGTAGTAAGTGATATTAGGCCTCACGATTTGGGTGTATATACATCTGAATTTGATTACTGGATTATAAGATATTTAGATCATCTTGTTAAGTTTATTGCAGACTCCTTAAATTATTTCTGTGGTCGTTGGTGGCAATTGTGTTTTTATCACTCCCTACTGACATTTAATTTGTAAATGCAAGACTTGCATAGTCATGATATCTACACAATCCAACCAGCTTATTAAATTTACTTCGCACATGCATATATATATATATATATATAATGATTTTGAACTTATACTGATTAAATCACTTCATATATACTACGATTTCGTTTCATTTTTTAAAAACTTAGTTGGAACAACAACTAGATGAATATGAGAAGCTGGGTGAGAAATGCGCGACTCTGGAAGCACGTATCAAGGAAATGGCACATTCTGAAAGAAGATATGGTGGTGGTATGGTAAGCGACTAAATCTTCTGTTTCTCCCCAAACTCAATAAGCAGTGATAAGCCTAGCAAAATCAGTTGATATTTGTTCAAAATTTTTGTGAAGACTTTCACTTAGCGGGGGTGATCATTGAGATGAAAAGATATACAAAACATTTTGATTATGCTTGCACTTAGCTGGATCTTGATAAGGTATTTATATTCAACCTTGCAAAATTCAGCTAAGATAAGAACAACTTATGCAAACCTTAAGCTTTAGATGAGTTCATGATTGTTAGTTAGAACTTCACTAAATTGTCGTTTATGTAAGATCTATTCTTGATTTCGCTCGAAAATTATGGTAACAAGGACAGTAAACAAACTAATTTAGATTTCTACATGCTCGTTCTCGTAATCACTATTCCCAACATTATATAAATATATATATATATACATAATTGAATAAAATATTTTGTGGTTTTATCCATTCTCCACTACCTGTGGTGGTGACTCACATTCCACCTTAGTTAAAAATGAATACATTGTTTACATCTTTGCAGTGTATGACTTTATGGTTGGGAGATATAGTTACCGAAATAATGTACAAGTTGTATGACTCTTATGATGTTCCAATATCTTCAAACCTGATTCAACTGACTTCACAATGCCATGTTACAACGTAACTGCTTCCTTACTATTTACAGCTAACCTTAGCATCAGCAAGATATCTTGCTAACATAGCTGACCAGTTATCGTTATTGGTCTCGAAACTCACTTCTTTCGTTGGAGCCAATGGTAAGATTAATATAAGAACTTATACCGAAGACTGATTATTTGGACCATTGAACAACTGTGCGGTATAAAAGTACTCAACCACAAGTGTTTTCTAAGGTTAATAGGCAGTAGAAGATGATAGAAAATAGCTATGTAAGATATAAGGCTCTAATAGAGGGTGGTAAGTCATTCAACCCAACTATAAATCTTCAATTACTAAATGTCATCCACTTGGCCCTTGACCTTACGCTGTTGCATTCGTTTCTGAAATAATCCATCACTTATTTAAACCATCAACAATCGCAGGTTGAGATTCCGAAAATAATTTCCAGTCAATCATCTCGAACGTAGGGCCTTGAGTAAATGTGCAACGGCACATGCTACATCTGAGGTCAACAAAGCAAAAATGAATCAGCATAATAGGAAGGATACAATATAAGGTAATGTCAAAACCAGTCGGAGTCTGAACATGAATAATATAGTTCAAAAGGAATGGTTGATTAAAAATGACAACTCAAAATTTAAAAAATGACGGGATGGTAGTCTGTCTCTATAATCAATTTCGCTCCGTTTCACCCGAATGCCAGCCCTTAATTACGAGTATTAGGTGAACCTCAACCTAAGTCTACTCTTTGTGGTATGGCTTAAACCATAAGATAATAACTTTATGTTGGTACCCTGTTTTGTTTGCTCCATCTCTAGTGTTTTTTAAACCTGTCAGGAAACGTTGCAGGTCGGAGTAGGGTGTGGTTAGAAATGCGTATAAAATGTCTTAATCTACACACTCGACGTTTTATGGCATCAACTAGTATGCCAACTCCAATCTTACCATCTCTCACCCAACTTTTCTAACCATGCGGTGGTAACACTTCGAAGATATCTATGGTCAAATTCTTCCAGCCTACGCATACCTTCATGTTCTACAGCTACATATTATTAAAAAGAAGTCTGCTAGTTAATGCACCCAGATCTTCCGTAACAGATTAACAACTGGAATTAATCCGACTCTTTCATGGTGGCATATTTATAATTGTAGGAATTTTTATGCTTTTTATCGCTAATTTCTTTCGATCATTTTGATGAAGAGTGTGTCATCATACGTTTGTACCAGACATACACTACCTGTTTTGATTTAAAAATGCGTGTCAAATGTAATCTTTTTATTTGTATCCGAAATGTTTCAGTTTATCTTTTGATCATGAAATAGAAGATTTTAGTCCTAAGTTCTGCCCAATCAGATGTAATTTGTAGGTTAGTTCAATTATACTCATACTGTGGTTGAAAAGATGCTGGCTTTCTTTTTCATCATAGCTTGGCGGTCGTCTGATTGGACCCACTTTACCTCCATGGATCGCTGATGACAAAAAGCTGGAAAACGATCTAGAACGACTTTCAAAGACTGATCCTGCTACTCTGCGTGCAAAGGTCATGGAACTAGAAAGCCAAGTCAACGAGCTTAATCAACTTCTGACTTATCGGGAAGACGTGATTCTCCGTATTCATGAGGTCAGTGCGCTTCATTTTCAACATCATTTTGTTGTTGCTTATTTAGAATACTTAACGTTTATTCGGTAATCAATAATATTTAATTATTACAGTTTCAGCATGAAATTTACCGTTAATTTATGTGATTTAAAAATTACTTTTTTTAGGAAATATCGAAAAAGGCTTCAAAACTCGAAGCCGCCGATGTTGAACGTTCAAGTCTTACAGCTCAAATCAGTATACTGAAACGCGAGTTGGCAACGGCTCGTGAAGACTTAGCTCGTCGAGGAGTAGGTCCTATTGAATTAGAAACTGAAATTGAACGTTTACGAAGTAAACGAGATAGAGAATATCAACGACGCAAGCGAACTGAAACCGACTTAGAGAACATGGAAAAAGAAAACCAGGAGTTGAAACAAAGAATCAAGAGACTAGAAGAAGCAGCGATAGCTACTCCTCCTAAACCAGTAAGTGTATTGTCGCTTGTCAATAAATCTAAATAACTGACCAGTTCTCACATCAGGTGATTCCATAAGACAGTGTGTCTTTAGTGAAACCAAAGTATTGTAATCGATGCTTATTCCCATTAATTGTCTTACTCGAATTACTTTTTTGTTTTACGATGTAAGTTTGTGATTAGCTTAAAGATGATCGAGTTGTTAAAATTTAAGATAATTCAACTATCATATTCAGCTGTCGTTTTAACATGTCACATTTAAGTACGATAAGTTCTGATCCTAATGGGTTGGTGTCTGACGAAATCTCAGCACGGATTCGAAAAGCTCGCTTGGCTTTTGCCAACTTGCGTCACCTTTGGCGAAGGCGAGATATCCGTCTACCAATAAAAGGACGGGTATACTGCGCGGCAGTCCGTTCTGTTTTACTTTACGGCAGCGAAACATGGCCATTAAGAGTAGAAGACACTCGTAAGCTATTAGTATTTGACCACAGATGCCTTAGAAATATTGCTGGCATCTGCTGGGATCACCGGGTAAGTAATAGTGAGGTTAGACGCAGGGTATTAGGGAATGGTGGTAAATCAGTTGATGAGGTTATGAATCTTCATCGACTGAGATGGTTGGCCCACGTGTTACGTATGCCTGAACACCGACTACCACGACGTGCAATGCTATCCGGTATTGGAGATGGTTGGAAGAAAGTTAGGGGCGGCCAAACCAAAACGTGGCATCAGTGCTTGAAGTCACTAACTTCTAGTCTGAGCCATGTTGGTAGATGCAGACTACTTGGTTGGGGTCCGCGTGACTATCGTAACCGATGGTTGGAGACTCTTGGTGACATGGCTCAGAATCGATCACAATGGCGTCGGTGTATACACTCTCCGTGTTCCCTTAAACTAAGGGATTAAAATCACTTCATATCTTTCTTTCTACGAACCAATTCTTTTTTCTTGTACTATATCTCTATATGCAATCTTTCTCTTATATATTACCACCTTTGACCTAACCACTGCTATGAATCCGGTGTTCATCTTGTTGTGCTGATGCGGTATGGCAACCTGGACCGATGCACATATGTGCCTGGTCCTACATTGTAGCTGACTGACTGACTGAAGTTCTGATCCCGACTGAGTGGGGTTCCATTGAGTAGATCTAGTGCACATTTATAAGTTTGTTAAGGTAACATTCTTTAGTCCTTCATGATACTTCTGATATATTACGATTACAAGCATACTTGCAACTTACTTTCATGTAACATCAAAAATTAAAAATAACTTAGTATATTGTGGTTTAAAGCACACTTTAATTTTACTCACCATTTGTCTTTCCAAAGATAATTCCTCAAAGTGATCCTTCTGATAGAAATAAAATCATTGAGCTACAAGGCGCTGTTAATCAACTTCGAATGGACAATGAAGCTAAGCGATCGGAGCTTTTCGACCTGCGATCACGATTTGATGCTAAATCTGCACAGGTTGATAAAATGTCTGCCGAGGTAAATATTTTTGTCTGAGTATTTACTGATTTCTGATGTGTTTATCGAGTGATGTTTAGTAAGGCTGTTTTGACCAGATTTACTATTGAGATAACGCCCTTCAATCATATAATTTCGTTTAGTTTACTGGGACTTTCTTATTCGTTAGTCATACATCTAACCGGTAAATTCTGACTTGTAATTTCAATAACCACTTCTAGTTATGCATTATCCATTTATCGTGAACCGGCGACCTAATGTTCAATGCGTCCGACTCTCAGTCACCAAGTCCCAGGTTCGAATCTCAGTCCACCTTCGGTTTAGGCAACCGGGTAATATCATTAGCCCTAACACTTGGAATGTGACTCACACCCAAGTACCTACGAGTACTATAGAAGTTCTGCGAATTGAAATTTTACTTACGCCTGTAAGATCATAGGCCGCCGACCAGGGCTCTCCAAACATAACTGTCGTGGGTTCTCTTTTTCAGTTTTCAATTGCTATACATCCAATTCTCTGCGCCATATGTTCTTTGGTCTTCCTCTTTTCCTTTTGCCTTCGGGATTCCAAGTTATGACTTGCCTTGTGATGCAGTTCGATGATTTCCGCAATGTGTTCTATCAACCTCCAGCGTCTTTTACTAATTTCCTCTACAGATAGGAGCTGGTTTGTCCTCTCCCACAGTAGGTTGTTGCTCATGGTATCCGGCCGGCGGATCTAGTGTCTTGTTATTTAATACAATAGCTCAGTGGTTATAAACTCTTTCATTTTCAACCATTGGGTAGCAGCTTCATACGTTGCATCCAAGTGTGGACGACCAAGTGGTATCCCGTTCATGTCTTAAAACGGATTATAGAAATTATTATTTGATGAGCATGTCATACAAATAATCGAGTAATAATATTGTTCAATTATTGTCAATATAGTCTCTTAACTTATTTCCTGTCTTAGTTTAAAACAAAAGAACGCCTTTGTTCCGAGCTCACAACTCAGCTTGCAAATACTCGTGGCCAGCTGGAAAATACTATAAAAGAGCTGGAATCAGTCCGATGCAGAGCTGTGCGCGGTGGTGCGGAAGTTGAACGTTGGCATTCAGACCTAACAAGTTTGCAAACTACCAATAAATTTCTTTCTTCACAGTTAAACGATTTGAGAAATAAAGTAATTGCGAAAGACAAAATGATTGTCGAACTAGGCAAACGTTGTGAAAGTATTCTAAATAGTCATCCTATTCAAGGTATTTTTAATGTATGATTAATTATCTCTGTTATGATAAACATTTAATCCACAAATATGTTCTTTCAATTATTCTCAAGCTTCATGAAGAAAGTTTATCGCTCTCATCTCACCAGCAAAAAATAACGATTTTCATGATGTAGCTAATAAGTAAAACGTGTGTTTCTATCGGAATAAAGAACTCCAAATACTCGAGAATAATAAAATGCTTGTTTCGATTGTTATTGAATAATTAATGTGTGTTTAGTGTTAACTGTTAGGAAAAACTCACACATATCCAGAACTTCCTCGTCTTCATTAGTTATTGCACTATTACATACTTATGATGGAAAACTAATAATGTGATTAAATTTTAAAACCCAACAAATATAAGTAGATGAGTCATGAAGTTTAAACGTTTTACTTCAGTTTTTATTGTTGATCCATGATAACCGACAAACATATTGAAAAATATACAACTTCTTGTAAGTTATCCTCTAAATCTCCCATTGTTCTCTAAACTGTTATAATCAATTCTTCAAACATTGTTGTTAGCTTCAACCATTCAGGAACATCATAAACGACATGTCTTAATCCTATGAACTTTTATATTAAAAATATTTTTTGACCTATTCACAATATAACATCATCATACAATCAGAATTCCATTTTAGTTTATAAATGGTTGTTTTCCTCCTCATAGCCCACTTAATCAAGTTTATAATATTTTCTATTTAATTAAACTAGCTCACGAAGAGCCACATGTGAGCGTTAACGGAGATGAAGGTGTGTGCTCTCGTTGTCAGGAGCGTCTGTTTACTGAAGACAATCAACAGTCGAATGAACTGGATATAATTTCTCAGGTATACTATACTGATATTTGGCGTTACATTGATTTACTGATAAAAATCTTCATAGAATGTTCGAACGAACAATTGTTTTCAATAACTTCATCATCAGGGTTTTTAGTTATAAGTCCATAATTATGATATTTTAAAAGATCAAGAATTTTAGAGTATGTGTTGTAACATATGCAAATGTTTACCATTTTTTGACATGTAGCAGTCATATTCATTAATGTATGACTTATATTGGCCTTTGTAAAATACCACCATTAATTATGAACTTATAAACTGTGGAGCCTGACGATGGAATTATTGAAAACAATTGTTCGCTCAAATATTCTTTATTTTTTTTATAAATTTTTCATTGTAGTCCATTATTTTCATAAAGTCGAATTAATCATACTGTTTAGCAATAATAAACCTTTTATTTATCAGAAGATTTTATAAGATATTGTTTTATATGATCAGTGTGTTTAATGAATTTCGAAATTTTGTTCTTTAGAGTTTTGTTCGTTCAGCTAGATTGTTTAATCATGAGGCTGTCTTTGATCTTCTGAACAACATCAGCTTAAACTTCAGGTAGAAGTGAAGGATTCGAATTTTTCTACACATAATGACTTGTCCTTTCGAGATTGATATTGATTGGTTATTTTTGACATTTAACCGATCGTTGTCTGTTTATCTATTTTGATTTGATTCTTGATCTTATATTTGTCCATGCTATTTCTAATTAGTTGCTAAATTTAATTGATTCTAATGTATTTATGAATTTATAATTGACCTGAGTTCCAAGCTTTTAAAGATTCCGTGATCTTTGTATTCATTTTATGCACAATGTTATCATTTTTCTAATTGTGTCCACATGCATTGATATAAGGGAATATATATAATGGGGTTTGACAGCTAGTTAGTGTTCGTATAGACAGGACAAACTGTCAGTTTGTGCTCATGATATTGTTTAGAATAACAATAAAAACTTTACAACTAAACCGCACAGCTCACAAATAAAACTTCAAAGCTATTTTGATTTATTAGGAAACTAAAAATTATCAAATAAAAATTGTTATAACTTAAAAACAAGACTGATTTGTCAAGGTTGTAACGAGATAAATGCTGATTTCTACTACTATTATGATTGCGAATTAACTTTTATTTGCTAATTATTACAACTAAACAAAGTCATATTTAGTGTTTGATCAATCAGTCAATTATCTATATGCAACCAACTTTACTGAGAAATGTAATTCATCACCCAAGTATCTATCTATTTTATTCCTAACGAAATGTGTTCCTCATATATTTGAAAAATCAGTTGTCGGATTTCAGTTTTTAACTTTAACTTATTAACATTTGTGAACATTTTGAGCTGACTTTCTGACTAAAATGTAATCGTTCTTATCTCCACTTTCAATTCACCTTGTTATCTGTTGTTTATTAGCACTTCATCATTAGTTTTATTTCTTTTTACAGCTTAAAGCTAAACTGTCTTCAATGGAGGATCGTTGTAAAACCTTAATGGCTGAAGCAGTTCAAACCCAACAGGCAAATGAGAATGTAAAATCTCAGGTTAGTTGAATAGCAGAATTTACTGCATCAATATATCTATTTATTCCCAATTCTTATTAAATCTTGTGAATAGCTTTGACTTTACTACATAACCTTACTAACTCGATACGGATAAACTTTTAATTCATTTATACTTATCTGAAATTTGTCAAGTATTTTCTGAATGGTTAAAGACTGTGACAAAATTTCCCTTTAATACACACATACAATGACTCGTACATCATCTCAAAACCTCGAACATAATTACCCTCAGTGTTTCAATAAGTGGGAAAAGAGTATTGTCCTTGTCATGAAAACTTTTACTAATCTCATCAGTTAAAAGTGTGACACAACTGGATTTTTTTACATGCTAAAAAAGATAATTTCGACATACAATACAATAACAATTTATAACAAAAGGTAGTCAATCAAAAAATAGTTAGAATCGGCATGGTAATTATGGATTTATTTTGTCATTGTTAACCGATTAATTACCATAGGAAAAGTGATTGTTCGAAATCGACTTTAGCAACGAGATATATAACAAAGTCTTGGCTGTATCCACAAATCATTTGGCCGATATACAATACATTTATTCCTTTTACTGACTTTTTAGAATATTTAATACAATAGGTATTACAATATATTTATTTTTGTTTGCTATGCTAATCAAGTTGGAGTCCGAACTTGCTAATGCCCAACAGTCTGTACAAAAGTTGTCCGAAGAAGTTGCCCGAGAAAAAGAGACAGCATACAATTCAACCTCTCGCGTAAGTTATTTTATGGTTATGAAACGATAAGTTACAGTTGCAGGTTATTTTACTACTTTTTCAACTCGTAGGGTTGACATATAGTTCGGTCTTCTTAATCCACTTGATCAACATTCTTAAAACTTGTTCAAGACACGGAAACCTGTTAATAAATGTTCGTTGTACTTATTTTTATCACTTCTCTGATCTCCTAACACGCTTCTTCAATCACGCAATTGCAAATTTCTCACTATTCGCCTCATTTCACTACCAGACAATCCATTCAGTGTCGTAAAAGTGGTCACAAATGATATGAAGTATATAGGGAACAAATCCTAGTGCTTAAATTTTTAGGTATAATGTGGGACGCTTGTATGCTATCACGTCATGACATGCTTACATCATAGTTGCTTGAAAAAGTTGTGATCATTGTCACTTTTTTATTTTATCAAGGTCCAAGAACTCACTGCTCAAGTAAATAAGTTAGAAACAGACCTTTCTCAAACCAGAATGCAACTAATAGAAGCTCAGTCAGATCATCAAAAAGAAAACGATATCAATGCATCAGCTGCCTCACCTCCTGCCAAACGAACTAGGCGAAGTACTAATGCTGTGAATAATGTCAAAGCGAATTCAAAGAGTAATCAGGTATGTGATATACTTACCGCATATTCATAAATGTTATACCTACAGAGTAACCATTTTCTCTTTTTCCTAACACTCATTTTGTAACCAGTATCTGCGTGTAAATTTTCAGTTTTAAACGACTTGATTATATGTTGAATCAAAAAATAAAATCAGCTCTTTAGCCACCAAACAGTTGTTTCATGTAAAGATGTTTCTGTGCTCGTTGAGAATCTAAAAAGAACCAAAGCATTTACATAGAACATATTATTATAACTACTAACATAAATTATTTAGAACTGTCATCGTGATTATGGTAATAGTTTCAGCATTTTTTAAAAATGTCTTTTTACTGTTCTCTAGGATCATTCATCCGGTGGGCGTCATTGACATACACACTACAATGGTTCCATTTAATATTCCACCTACATTACCAACATCCAGGGTTTCATCCGATTAATTTATGGTTTCATTTCCAGTCAAAGAAATCCCACAAGAATCGATTCTCTCCCGGATATCTTACTAGTTTTGTTATGAGTTTTCATTATTTCTAAACTATTCGTGTGTTATTATTAATTTCTTCTCTTAACTCTGATATATTCTACATATGTACACATTAAGAACTTTTTATCGAAGTTGCATTTTCTCCGCTCTATATGCGGTCTTTTGTTTCTTTTTATTTTAAAAATAAATGATGGAAATTTGTTACATTTTTTGCCTTTTAAACATATTCGTATAGTAGTAACGGTTAATATATTGTTTGTTTAATTTGATGATGCCTTTAAAAAGGGAAATCATGTACAATAAATCTGATCTTATTGTCTATATCTAAATTTTTTAATATTTTATCAATAAGGAATTAGTATGATGTATTTTATGAATCAAGAAATCTATGTTCCTAAAAAAAGGTAATCATCGTCTCCTGAAATACCAAAGCATCATGACTAAACATTCAAGAAAATTATTCACATCTTATCGCCGACTCTAGAAAATGAAAGTTGATTTAACTTAGTATTCATAAATGGAATTCAATGTAGATGTTTCATTCACTATTCATGTTGAATATACAATGGTTAGAAAAAGAAAATCACATCAGTTATATTTCTATTGATAATTAGGAAATTATCGAAGATATGTAGTTTGTTTTGAACAAAACTAACTAGTAAAGTATTGTCTTGACAATAAATATACTGTCGTTTCTATATATGTACCGGAATTAGTAAGAAAATAAACTCTGAGTCTACAGTAGTTTTCCTTTATTTACTGAAATAAGTAGTATATAACTTTACAAACTTCTGGCGAGTTCTTTTGTCTGTTTACCAATGATTAAAAACTTTAAACAGAACTTCAATGTGACAACTTTGTCGGTGCGTTTTTTATCTTGATGCAGATGAATTTTTGTTCTCAAGCTTGATCGTCCTGGATAACATCCGAACAAACTTCAAATTGAAGTGAGCTGTTCGAATTTCTACTCATCATTGTCGACCTTGATCTCAATTGGTTATATCTGACCATTGTCCTGTCTACGTCCTCAGAATTCTGAATCGCTTGATTCTATTTTGAATTTTGTACTCATGTCCAGAAGATCAATCAATGCTTTACAATTGAGCTACTCAGAATATAGAAATACATAATTTCTAATAGTCAAACTCGTAACTAGGGTGGTTCATTTGTAGTATTATGCATATAAACAGGTATCTTACAAAACTAGTGAAATAAAGAACTAGACCCACTGCCAAAACTTGTTTTAAAGTTCTATAAGTTCTGTTAACTGAGGAGATACAACTTAACAGTGCTCGAAATCAGCGAAACATTGAACCGAAGCTGGACTGAGAGGAATCGATTCAGAAGAGATACTGCAGTACACTGATCACGGAGAAGAAAATGCTCCACACACATGGAGTTGCACTGATATTGTCCAAAGAAGCACTCATGGATTCGAGATCACCAAAGTATCCTGTAAAACAAAGAAGTAGGGGTTCACAATGCATGTTATCTAATGCTATACACCCACTGATAATAGCAGTGAAGACGATAAAGATCAGTTTTACCAGGGGCTACAGTCTATCGTAAACGAATGTACAGGAGAGGACTTAACCATCCCCATAGGATACCTAAATATCAAAGTCGAAATGAACAACACCGGATGTGAAGATATGATGGGACGAAATGGACTGACTGGGAGAAAGGAACGAGAATTGCGAGAGATTTGCAAATTTATGTACAATGAACAAAATGGTTGTAGGATCTATATTCCCACATAAACACATTCACAAGGCTACATGGGTCTCATCCGACCAAATCACGGAGAACCATATTGATCATATTTGTAAGCCGAAGATTACATAGTTCTGATAATCTTCGTCTTCTAATATCATTATCGAAATTTATCAAAGGGACTAATTGTTTTAAAGATCATATTTGTATTACTAGTAAATTCAGAAGGTCAATGGAAGGTGTGACAAACGAGAGAGGGACTGACAGCTTCAGATGACCACCTAGTAGTTGCCAAGATGAAACTGGAGCTTAAGAATCACTGAGCAAACAGCATAACAAACCTTTAATACAGCCTTCCTACGAGATATTGACAAACTCCACGAATTCAAGTTAGCTCTCAGTGACAGGTTCCAAGCCTTACAAGATCTACTGAAAGAAGAAGAAACTACTATGGAGGACAACAGGAAAGGGATCAAAGAAGCACTAACTTCAACGTGTCAGGAGGTAATGGGCCACATGAAGCATAAGAATATACAGTGAATTTCTATGGAAACTGGGGAGAATTCATGAAGAGGAAATAGCAATCAACAACAGTCGGACGAGAGCAGAAAAGGCCAATGGACAGGCCGAATATGCAGAAACAGACAAGAGAATGAGGAGGAGCATTCGAGCCGACAAGCAGAAATATGTGGAAGACATAGTAATGACGGCGAAAGTTCCCAGAGAATGAAATATGAGAAGACTATATGGTGCAACGAAGGAACTGGGAGGGAAATATTGTAAACCAGAGAGACCGGTCAAGGACAAAGAAGGTAGGCCAATCACTGATATTCAAGGACAGAGGAGCAGATGGTGGAACACTTCGAGGAATTTATAAATAGACCAGTTACACTGAATCCACCCGATATCGAAGCTGAATACACAGATCTTCCTATAGATGTCAATTCACCAACGGTCGAAGAGATAAAGTTGGTCATCAAACAATTCAAGACTGGGGAAACAGCACAACCTGACAATATACCAGCTGAAGTCAGATATAAAAGCAACTGCAAAGATGCTCCTCATTCTTTTTAGGACGATTTAGAGGAAGACCAAGTGTCAGTGACAAACTGGAAAGAACGATATCAAGATAGCAAAGAAAGGAGATGTGAGCAAATGTTCGAACTACAGTGAAATCACACTACTATAGATACCAGGAAACGTTTTCAAGAGTATTGCTGAAATGGATGAAGAATTCGGCACACACCCAACTTTGGGATCAACAGACTGGATTCCGTAAGGACCGGTCGAACACAAACCAAATCGCGACACCACTGATGATTGTTGAGCGATCGATTGAATGGGATTCGTCACGACACATCAATTTCCTTGACTATGAGAAAGCGTTTGACAGTGTGGGTAGGAAAATCTTACTCGACACTGTTGTACCTGAGAAGATCGTCAACATTATCCGGGATTCATACAACGGACTACACTGTAAAGTGCATGAAGGACAGCTGGCAGACGCATTCCAAATGAGAACCGGGACCAGACATGGCTGCCTACTCTCCTCCTTTTTCTTCTGGTTGTTCACTGGATTCTTCAGACCTCCAAATCTGAGGGAAAGCACGGAATACAATGGGCAGGTTGAATGCATCTAGACGATATGTACATCTGTATTCTAAATTCAATAACTGTATTTTCATTCCTGTTTATTGGAAATGGCAACTAGACTCACTATTGGATTTCCATTTTTATTTAGACACTATCAAGGCTCATTTTTAAATTACTATGTATAACTTCTTGTTATGTTTTGTTTAGGCACAATCTACTCCCGTAAAGAATTTATGGAAAATAAGTGGACCAGCTCTAGGCCTTTACATACGTTCTACACCCAGATTTATCCTATATCATACAAAATGGTAAGTTTACGTGGTTCCTATTTCAGAACTAATTGCATTACATGTTAAAATGTTTTTTAATAAATTGAAAAGGAAAATTTTCTATGCTGGATTATCGACATTGAAATTTACATAAAAATATTTATTTATCAAACTCCCTAATCCCTTTTTCCAGAATGTTTTAGTCTTGGTTTTGTTTTAATTAAACATGGTTCTTTGGTGTGTGCTACTTACGTCGATATAAGTAGTATAAAACGCTAGTCAGGAACGGAATATCTGTCAGCAGAAGGTTGAGAAGATCGAGGAAGAAAGAGAGGAAACAGAAAGCAATTGATATGGAAATATAGGAACAATGAAGTCCGAAACAATTAATGAACATTTTGCAAATGAAGTATGGTTTTTCTATTTCAAGTAACAGTAATTTCGGGCTAAATATAATCGGTTTTTCTCACCTGCGTTCTTCGCTATAATTCTATTGCGTATCTGTCCCATCAGATAGTTACAATGAATAAGCTATCTGAATATATTCATATTTCCTCAATCCTTACAGGTTTTTAATTACATGGGCCATTGTATTTTCACAACGATAAGCTTGATTTTTGAACAGTATCTGTTAGTACCCAATTTCAGATTCATGCAATCAGTGTTATCCTTAGTCTACGGTAATTTTATCCAATTTCTGTCAAAGGTCTATATATTTCAGGAGTTCTCTGCATTCTATTAGATGCATTTCAAAGGTAATAAAATGACAGAACGTGTTGATTGTGTTTGGAACTTTTACGTGACTATTAATTTGGCCAACTGTTAGTTGAAAAACGAAAGGTAATTCAACTTAATGGATGAACAATTCACAATAGTAATTGCCGAAGTATATCTTGCACATTCAATGAAGAACTAAAATCATTCTTGATCCCTCTCACGCGTCAGTGTTTCGGAAATTTATATCTTACGATTACTTGACATGAAACTTCGTTCTTGTGTGTATATAAGTATCATTTCGCCTAGAGAATGGGACCTATTTTCCTGATTAGTTATGATCTGTTCATTTGGTAGTTTACACTGAGTGTTCACTCTTATGAGCAATTGTCCGTCGACCACATTGTACATTATTTTTCATAATCGAACTTCTGTTTTTATCTTTTTAACAACTAAATATGTACTCAACAAATATTGTATTCCTTTATGATAAATTATAAACAATAACTCGTGTTCAAGTTATCATGCTACAACAACTTTACTAGTGTCCAAAGTCTAATTCGATATTACTTTGTGTACATTTTCCATTTAATTTGTTTCAGCACACTCGTGACAACATCGAACTTGAATCGGTCTATACTCAAACAAATATTTCTTTCATTTCGAGCAATGTTTTATCGCGAACGACCACGTTTGGTTGGCGTAGATAAATCAGGTAATCGATATTTTGAAGCACCACCAAATAAAGCAAGTGAACATACTCATTTATCAAAATTACCAAAGAGGTTTTTTCTTATGCCCGGACAAAATGGATTAGAATGTTCACATGGGAATATGGATGTAGGTCAGTTTATGAACCGAAATCAATCGTGAGCCATATTTTTACTTTTGTATATTAGTATGTTAGTAATAGTTTGCATGAATTAACAAATCAAAGTTTAGTACTCGTCTTTTTTTAGCTTTATAGATCACCGGCATCATATACTATTTAATGTAGCATTAATCCACTTGCTTTACTTACTTCCGCCTGTT